TTCCTAATTATAAGAAAAATATGGTAAGATTAAGGTTATAGGCTATGTAGACTTTGTAACTCTTTGTGTGCATGTGCCTTTAGGTGTATATCATCGCTGTCTAGTATTTGCTACCAATTATTTCTACTGCTTTATATAAATAGCTATGAAAAATAGATTTATCTTAAGTCCATATTTTCAACAGCAAAGGTGAAAAGAAGATGTGGGAATATTATAATATCGCTGTACAATTCCTAACACATCTGTCAACATCACAATTTAATCTCCTCTGGGAGAAAGACCAATTTCAAACATGCAATAGAATATTGACATTTGTGTTAGATGAAACCAACTGGATGAACTCTGAAAAGCATCACCATTCCATTCATTTTAAATTGATGAGAACACTGCAACATATCCATCAACCTTTACCACAATCAAAGATATGCCACCAACCTTGGTAAGATCTACCACCTTGAGACATTGCCCATTTGATCTCAATGCCATTGTTTGGAGAACTAAAGAGATGGGGAACACTAAAGGGATAGGGGAAATTGGGTTGGCTAATTTATTTGGCATTGTCATGAACTGGTACACAGTGTTCTGGACTGGGTATTAATGGACTACTCATCTTAACTAAAGAGTGGCATTTCTTTATTGATTCATTTTTCTCATATCATTTAGAAAACAATATTTGAAATGCAAATTTCTCATACCTATTCTGAGGATACTTGTAAAATTTTTTCAGAAAGGAATGAATTTCATTTTACTCTCAAAATTCATTTTAAAGTAAAAAAGGAAAACTTTCTACATTTGTTGAAAATATTTTGTCATTTGATCTTTTTCTGCAAGTTTAAAATAATAATATGCATTTCAAACCTGCCTGGAAATAATTTTATCTTCATGAAGGCTAGTGTCTATTATTTTATTTTGAAAATTTTATTTATTATTGTTATTTTATATGTATAAGCATATTGCCTGCATATGAGTAAGTGCACCCATGTCATACCATGCCCGAGCAGGCCAGAGAAGATGTCGAATCCCCTGAAACCAGAGTTACAGACTATTGCTAGCCACCATGTGGGTTCTGAGAATTGATCCCAGGTCCTCTGCAGGAGCATCCAGTGCTCTTAACCCCTGAGCCACCCCTCCAGCCCCTATTATTTTGAAGTGTGGCAGTATTTACAGTTTAATTCTGACTTCACAAGCAGAAATATTTGATCATTTTAAATGTGTTAGGAAGGACTTTTGCTCCTATCCATGAGGGAATAACAGGGTCCACACTTTGCCTTCTGCTGTAGACAATGGGAAAGTCTGATCAAATATGTGAAACAACTGTGTTCAGACATTGGGAAGCAGAGCACATTCTTGATGCCAGAGAAGGGAGAGGAAGCAAGCTAGGAAAGCCCTGAAATCCCTCAGGCTTTCTATCTGGAGGCAATTTGCTGACTGTTCAGCTAGAGAGAACACAAAGTTTGGCCATCTTGCTAATTCGAGAAGACAGAATCAGGGTTAAGGAAAACCAAGACAGCTAAAATTTGCAGTACACAGTAAGGAAGAAGAAGGATTTATGCAGGAAATGAATAAGTAAATATTTCTGAAAATAGCACGGGAGTTCCCTTGAATATTTGAATATCAACCTGCTTGTGAGTTGAGTAGAATTTTAAGTATCCAGGTAAAGGGTAATCCCTAGGAAGGTAAATTCCCAGAGCTGATACAGAGCCAGAAATTCTCCTAGTTTCTATCAGCCAGAGTGGAAATGTCCTGTTGAACAGCCATGTAATTGAATAAAGAACCCAGACGAATCAGACTTGAATAATGAATCTGAACTATCCTAAAATTAACCATGCTAAATTTGGTCTAAAATGAGCATGTTCAACCTGAGCAACTGATCAACTGCCTGGAAAGCTGTTTTCTTGTGTGGTCATCCACTTCCTCTGACTCTTATAATCTTTTCACCCCTTCTTCTGCAATGATCCCTGCATCTTGGGAGGCAGAGGTTTGATATAGGTGGCCTATTCATGCATAAGCAGTCTGCAGTCTCTTCTTGTCTGAACATTGGTCAATCGTGGATATTAATCATCATCTGCTATATGAGAAAGCTTCTCTGGTGAGAGTTGACAGATGTATTAATCCATGGGTATAAAAATATCATTAGGTGTCATTTTAATACTTTGTCTATTTAGAAGAATAATATGAGTAGTCTCTTCCCAGTGGCTTGTGTCCTGTCCAGCAAAAGGGTCCTCACCCTGAATCTTAGATATGTATGTTTTAATTGGAAAATTCATAGAGATCAGGAAACTAGTAAAGAATCATGGTGGGATGGGAGAGGCTTAATGGGAGGAGAAATAAAATGCAGTGATATAGAGGGGAGAGAAGAATAATGGAGTGGGAAGGGTTAAAGGGTGTGGGGAATAATGGTAGGCCAGCACAGAGGAGGGAATATGGGGAGGAAAACTAACAATAAAGGCCTTTAGAAATGACATACGGGGGGCTGGAGAGATGGCTCAGCAGTTAAGAGCACTGGCTGCTCTTGCAGAGGATCCAGATTTAATTCCCAGAACCCACATGGTGGCTAGCAACCATCCGTAACTCCACTTCCAGTGGATCCGATGCCCTCTTCTGACCTCCGTAGGCATTGCATGACATGGGTGTACTTACACACATGAGGGCAATTCACTCATATGCATAAAATAAAAATAATAAATAAAAAAATTTTAAAAAGAAAACATCATATAGAAACCTACCACCATTGGCTCGTCTTAAAGTACATACATACATAATATAAAAAGAGATTTAAAAGAGTTGCACCATAACAGGAGGACATTGCCAATACTGGACACCACAAGCTAGCAAAGAAAATTCCCAGTGCCAGGAGTGGATTCCCTCTTTTGAAGTTGTTGACCAGGGGTCCCACAGAATCTCAAACAATGCTGGCATTACCGCTGCTCTTGGTTACCCACTGGAACTTGATGATAAGATCCTACTGCTGAAGACACTACATACGTGAGCTGTAGAACAAACAAGGAAAAAATCAAGCTGGTACTGACTTCAAAGCTTCATTTTTACTGGCTAGTTTTACAGTGCTATGCATGCTACATGAAGAAAAAAGTAATCATCAACCTTGTCCAGTTGTGAGTCCTGTGCGCTACAACAAAAACTGGGCAATAGTGGCAAGAATGTCATGGGAGGCACCAACTACTCTCTAGCTGGACTTTAGATCCACTTCACAAGAGGGAATCCATATTTGACATTGATATGAAATTTTTTTTGGTGAACTGATGGATTAAAAATTTTCAACTGTAATGAAATGTATAAGGTTCAGAAAAGTCTGCAAGCAAACTAAACATAAAATAACATAATTTATTAAAAACCAATGATAAATTAATATTATCTAGAGTAAAAGTCCAATACATAACAGATAATCTCTTCAAAAATATATGCTGGGTAAGAATGAATAATGTGTTAAAAGTGCCCAGCACTCAGGAGGCGGAGGCAGGCAGATCTCTGTGAGTTCAAGTGCTAAAACAAAAAAAGAAACAAACTTTTAACCTAGATTCTATTCCAAGCGCAGCCTGGTAATACCACTGGGGATTGGGGGAAACTATTAGTTTAATTTCACTTAATTTCTAAGTAAAAACCTTAGTTTTGAAAAAATTAAGGCAAAATAAACATCTTTGTACATATAACAGGTGAGAAGTCATATTCTCAGCTTCTCACTGGTGCAAATATTAAAGAAAATGCCTCAGGGCAAAGAAAATAATATAAGAGAAATTTCTGTTAATATAAAGCAACTAGAAGTACCAGAAATTACAAATTGAAGCATGAATAAAGATAAAATATAATAACACTTTTTCTGGTTTAAATTTTTTATTTTTAATTTAAGGACCAGGCATGGTGGCACATGCCTTTAATCTCAGCTTGCAGGAGGTAAAGGCAGGCAGATCTCTGTGAGGTTAAGGCCAGCTGGTCTACATGAGGTGTTCCAGGCCAGCTGAGGCTACAGGGAGATCCTGTCTTCAAAAAACAAAAGCAAAAGCAAAACTAAATCAGAAAAAAAATTATTTTAAAATAATTGACTTGTAGTAAAGATAATAGTTCATTTTATGTGTAGGGGTGCTATAACAAAATGTACTTTTTATGAATGGAGGATAAAATGTTGAACTTACTGTAGAGTCTTATCTTTTACAGTTTCATGTATATAGAGTAATAGTTTTGTGTATATTGTAGACCTTAGAGCCACCACTAAAACAAAAAGAAGTTTAGATAATAAGCTGTGATTGATGGCAACATGGACTTTTTAAAGGCAGAAAAGTAGGAAAAAAGAACAAACAACAGAAGGGAAAGAGGTGACAAAATGATTGACCTACACAGAAGTTTATGATAATTATAACAATAAATATAAATGTGCCAAATAGCAAAAGGCAAAAATTGTAGGCTGTAACCTAACTATATACTATGTGCAAAAAACTCACTTTAAATAAAATACTTTTTACTTTGTAAGCATGCAGGCATTTACCAGATAAAAGCAAAACAGTGAAATTTAAACTGCTCAGATAAGAAATATCTCTTCAATTGTCTTTAACGATTAATTTTTCTTCCAACAATTAATGTGGCTGAATTCACCACAGCAAGGCAAACAATTCCAATGTTTCATTATGGTTTCTTAGTCATCGCTCTTGACTTATACACACAAAGTTGCTTTAGAATTTAATTTTGTTTTGCAAAACTACAACAAAAATTGTAGTTTTTCAGTTTTTATTAACTAATAAAATTTATTATATGAGAAGTTTGTGAGGTCAGGCGTTGTGGCACACGCCTTTAATCCTGGAACTTGGGAAGTAGAAGTAGGCAGATCTCTGTAAGTTCAAGGCCAGTCTAATCTACATAGAGAGTTCCAGGTTAGCCAGTGCTATATAGCAATACTCTATTTCAAAAACAAACAAACAAACAAACAAATAAATAAATGGCTTTTTGAAGAACTGACTGTAAAGCATATGAAAAACATTCCTGTCTTACAGGTCATACGGAAAGGAGAAGTGAGCTGCTGCTGGATTTGCACAGCCTGCAAAGAGAATGAATTTGTGCAAGATGAGTTCACCTGCAGAGCCTGTGACTTGGGCTGGTGGCCCAATGCAGATCTGACAGGTAGGGCAACCTCACTTGTAAACCTTGTTCCTGATTTTTGCCCTTCCTAGTTCCCATTTTTCAGATCTGAGCATTTAGCTCATGTCTTTTCCTTGCTGTTCTACGGTGCTCACTTTGTGGTGCTCATGCCCAATTGGCATGTATAAGACTCTAAGTTTCCATGGTATATGGAAAATAATGTTCATTTTAATCTGAATGCCAGTGAATTGATAAGTGGTAGAATATTCTGTCATAGAGTTATTTTCTATTTATTCTTTTTAAAACTGTGCTGGAAAGTATTTCAAGCCCGCTGAATCTATATTTGTAACCATTTCTTGAACATCTGATATATGTGAGTCATTACTATAATCCCTAAGGTACAAAAAGGTACAAAAGTAAATGAACTAAATTCTAGCTTTTTGTTCTCTCCCTCTGTGTGTGTGTGTGTGTGTGTGTGTGTGTGTGTGTGTGTGTTGAGAGAGTCTCATTCTGTATTCCAGAATGAATTATGATCGTCCTCCTGGTTCAGCCTCCCAAGTGTTGGGATTCTGGTGTGAACCACTGGGCCTAGCTTCAATCCTAGCTTTTATTTTGTATAAAGTCTGTTGGGGAAGAAATGGGAAGAAAAAAATTAACAGAAAAATTAATATGAAAGAGATACTTATGAAGTACTATGAAGCTATCAGGAAAAGGAGGAGATGAAAGAAATTCCAGAAAGAAGAGCATGAAAGAGTTGAGAGTTTCTAATAGGCTTTGGGGAAACATGGGTTTGCCTGATAAATATCAGAAGTGGTAAGGGATGAGGCTGGGTAAAATGCTGATCAATATTCCTCTCTGACCTAGCTTGTGTTTAGACTTTGCCTTTCAGCACCGGAGAACCAATGGAGAGTTTCAATGTGGGGAATGACACCCAAAACCCATTACTAGACAGATGGACCTGTTGGCAGTGTGGAGTGCAGACTAGATTGGGAGCAGAAGCATGAGGGAGCTGTCACTGGGTCCCTGTGGCTATTTCAAAGGCCATGGACTAGAGCAGCTTCCGTGGGCATGAAGAAGAAAAGTTGAATACAACAGATGATTCAGGAGTAAAAACAGGGGTGCTGAGATGGATTGACCAAATGAGCTTATAACTTTCTAAAAAAACAACATTCATGTATGCAAATTTATTTTTTACAGCCCTTGGCATGAACTCACAGATGATCAGTATTTCAAAAATACTTTTCAGAGCCCTAGGAACCTTGTCAGGTGAATAAATATAGACTTTATGAGCTAAACCTCATCTTAGAAAAAGTAGAGGAAACCAACAGACATGATGCCCTGTATGCCCAAGGTCAAGGAAATAGTGAGACGCAGAACCCAGGTCAGGAACTCTTGGTCCTGTGCTCCCATGGGTGCCATTGAAAATCTTCAGGAAGGGTCACAGTCTTGTTGGGTAGTCTTACTGGTTGCTCATTTTTTGCTTGATCCTAAATAAGAATATGAAACTAAAACACATGGTTTATTTCAAACATGTTTTAAAAATAACTGGGTAAATAGAACCAGGTCACATAGCTAAAATTATACTTGAGTGGTATGACCTTGTGAAATGTTAACCTGCTAGAGATTAATTAAAATAATATCAGAAAACACAGAAACCACCTTGTACAAATATCCTTTTAAAAACAATGGAATTAGGTCAGAATATTTTTGCAGGAACACACGGCACCTATCGCCCTCACTCTTTACTTTTTGATTCTCTAGCTAAAATCTCGTTCTAAAGCTTTCTTTCATGTTTCTAAAGGTTAACCCTGCCCAAACACTCACCTCCAGAGTTTCTTCTCTATGTTTGGAGTGGGATCTAGAAGATTTGCTCATGCAGGTAATCTTAATTAAACACATTGGGTCACACAGACACACACACACACACACACACAAACACACAGACACACAGACATACAGACACACAGACACAAACACACACACATACAGACACACAGACACACACACATACAAACACACAGACACACAGACATACAGACACACAGACACACACACACACACATACAGACACACAGACACACACACATACATACACACATACAGACGCACAGACACATGCAGACACACAGACACACACACGACATACAGACACACACACACACAGACATACACACAACTTGAAAACAGGAGTACATAGGAAGAAGAAAGGAGGGAAAGGAGTAAGAGAGAGTATTGGGGGGGCTTTGATCAAAGAAAGTTACACACCTAAGAAATTATAAAAGAATAATATTTTTGGTCTTTTTTGAGACAGGGTCTCTCTGCAGCCCCAGCTGTCCTGGAACTCACTATTTATACTAGGCTGGCCTTGATTTCACAGAGATCTGCCTGTCTCTGCCTCCCCAGTACTGGGATTAAAGGTGTGCACCACACCACGCCCAGCAAGAATACTTTTAAAAAAGAATACACATTAGAGAAAGGATGGCTTTTTAATAAATGGTCCTAAACAGATGGAAACTTGAACCCTTTCTTCCACCTTGAGCAAAAATTGACTCAAAATCACTCTAAGACCTAGAGGTAAGATTGGATATAATGAAAGCTCCAGGAGGAAGCACAGGCCTAAACACTTCAACACCCTGGTGTAGGCTAAGTAGTTTTGGATAATTTCTCCAAAGCAGTGAAAACAAAAGCAAAATAAACAAATTGTATAAGTTCAATTTAAGAAACTTATGCACAACAAAGGAAAAAGAAAGCAAAGAGACAAGCAGAAGAGTGAGAAAAATATTTACAAACTGCCCATCTGACAAAGGAATGATATGTACAATATATAATTTACTCACGAATCAGTTTTCGCTTACCAGCTTTGGCCAAAAAATAAGCTAATCACTTAACAGCTCTGAATCTTAATGTCATTATTTGTAAAAAAAAAAAAAATACAATTAAACTGCAGCATGCCTTAAAAATAAATTTCTGTCTAATCCATTGAGAAATACTGCTCTCTTGGGCTCATAGTCTGGTGTCTTGGACATAATAGCTATGTAATCATCAGTGTTCATTACATTTGTAGAATTAGAAGGAACTCAGCCAAGTTGGTTTAGATCAGTGCAGTTGTCAACAAAACAGTCATCCTGTGGATCCAGGAAATTCCCTGCTGGGCCCAATGTCTAAACCACTTATGCCAAGGTTGCATGCATTGGATGGCATGCTAAGTTTTTCCTCCTCCTTTTGGACTGGGCATCCCCTTCACTCACATCGACTTTTTAAGCTTTATCTCCTCAGTTATGCAGGTCCCACAGAAACATCATTGTGTCTGAGAGCTGGAATTGACTCAACAGCTTTTTTTTAGCTGTTTGAGATCACAGCTGACTTGGGAGAGGCTTGAGGGCAAAGCCCTTCTCAGGTTGATCTTAGAAATCAGAAGTACTGGCTTGGAGGTAGAGTCTTTTTCTTGTTTATATTTTTTGAACTTTTTCAGACTGCTGTTACTTCCCTATTTTCACTCGAGGTAGGGCGTACCCCATACTAGAAAAAGTATTTCTGTTTTGGAACATTAAAACATGAAGATGCTCTTGAAAATCTGGTGAGGTGACCTAGTAGGGTCAAGCACTTGCTGCCAAGCTTGATGACCTGGACTTAAGTTCTATTGTGGATGTAGTACTTGGCTATTGACAAATGATTCTTTCTATTGATTAGCACTCCATCTTGACAGAGCATGAAAGACATCCTCCGCGGCCATGAAATAGATAAACAACACTACAACGACCTTTCTAAAGATTGGATGTATTAAACGTGTCCTACCACACACACAAAGGTCACCTCAACATTCCAACGAGGTTGCCAACATGTTGAGCCTTGCTTCAGCTCACACTGCTTTATCCCAGCCAGTTGCTCTCTTATCATGTCTCCAGACTACTTTACACACAATATCCTTAGTGTCTTCAGAACACACATCTCTCATATTCGTATTTTAATGACACATTTTTTCAGCATCCATTTTAGTCTCATGTGTGAATAGAAAATTAGATCCCATTGCCACTTACTTGGTGCCATGTCAAACACAGGGCAAGGGCACAGTACTTGGCAGTGTGTTTTGCATGTTGTCATGGTAGCAATAATTGTGAAAAGAGAAAACCCACTGGCACAGAATACCAAAAATCAGTAGAAATATTTGGAAGAGTAAAGACATTGCCTTTTAGTAGGTGTTTTATTTTCATGGATGAGTTTTTTCTGATAAAATTTTAATTTAAATGAGAAGCTATTCGTCTTTGAGAAATGATTATTCTGCTGCAGGTAAAGCTTGTTAAAATGTGTTAATCACTTTTAAGATAGCTATTGTTTCCATAGACAGCAAAGATTCCCATTGATGAAGGCAAATATTTCTAAGCAATGGTTAACTTTTCATTAGACTCTGTTGCAGGTTTGAGTAAACTGGTGTGCTGCTCAGGGCTGGGCAGTGCTTTTGTCATGTATTAAGCTTTTCATATGTTTTTCATGGGAATGCACATTTTTAATTCCACACATAAATTTTGTGCTTCAATTCTTAGGATTCATAAGCATATTCTTTTCCATGATCAAATAAGACTTAATAGTAGTTTAATAATTCATGAACCAGGTATAAGTGATGCAATAATACTTAGTTTTTAAAATACCTAAGGGTATAAGAGGATTCATCAAAAAGCTAACCTGCACCAAAGCTTGTTATTAAAAAGCAGAAAATTGGGCCTGGAGAGATAGCTCAGCACTTAAGAGTATAGACTGCTACTGGTGCACTTACATACATTCAGGCAATACTACACCCATACACATATAATAAAAATAATAAAAATGAAATAAAAATAAATTAAAAGTAGAAAATTAATTAACTTTAATTATTATTTTTCTCTATTCTGCCAATCACCATGACCTCAGATCCTACTATGGACTCATTTATTTAATTCTGCAATATACTTTATCAACCATTTTGTGCAAGAAATTTTTGGAGAAGCTGAGGCAAGCATATGAGAAGCTGCATATGAAACTAGATTTGTAAACAGCTAATTATGCATCCCAGAACACAGCTATGTGCACAGCATCCTATGAACACAGAAAAAAGCAATTTTTTCTTTTTTCCCTGGGAAGAGAAAAGCCTTCACAGAAGATTGAACATTTAATCTGTACATTGGATTATAAATATAAATTTGCCTTATAGGTAATTGTAAGGAAATAACTCTGAAGAATAAAGCCTTATATTGTCAAGAATGTTATGAGTTCCCTTAAGATACTTGGCATAAAATAATTATCATCTTTGCTTCATATTAAATTTGACTTGACCTAGTTAGAAAGAAATCTGATAGTCTATTTTAGCCTCCTCTAATACATTTGGGTAACACACTACCAAATATTTGATTCGAAAATGGGGGGTGGCCTCTGGTCCCTAGATCAAAGTTATTATCACTTCTCTGATTTTGTTCAGTAATTTGTAGGCTGCTTGAAGGCAACTGACTTGTATGAAGTCTCTAGGTTCTCTGGAATGACTGACCATGGACAGTTACCAAACTATTGTGTTTTTAAAGCTTTATACATTGTATGCACAACTAATAAAGTCATCTTTTGCATGCTGCAGTCAGGTAACTTTGGACACTACTCACCATCAATTTCAGGCAATCCCCCCCTCTTCTAGTCTTGAGATACCTTCAAACACCCAGGAGTTTTGTAATTCTTTGACACGTCAAAGCAGGACCAAAATTTCACTATTGTGCTTACCTGGACAACTTGGACATTACAGTTAATTTCTTCGATGGCAAAGCTGATGTTTCTCAAATTTAAGATGTCTAAAAAAATGACAAAACAAAGAATAAGAAAATAGAAACCCTTCAGAATCATATTCAAAATATTAATTATCATTCATAATCTCCAGGTGATTGTGTTTTGGCTGAGTTTTGATTGGCACTGAAAAGCCTGGATTCCATGTATTAAAGAGTGTTTAGGATCTTACCAAGAGAAAAAAGTGGAGGAGCGTTGGGTTTTGTCTTGACAGACTCCTATTGTTACAGCACAAGAATGCCTAATCTACCTCCGGTACAAAGATATCTTTCTTTAGTTGTACATGACACACTGTTCAGGACAGTTATTTTTGCAACTCAATTTGAACAATTTTATGACTTTCTGTGTAAATGCCTTAGTATCTGTCTTTCACTTTGGGCTATGTTATAGAAGCTGAGATTTATAATATGCAGGCTTTTGAAATTTCCCTGGTGACAGCCAGTGATATCTGTCAGTGAACCAACTAGGGATTTCTCTGGTGTAACCAATTCAACAGGGTGACTCAGCTTCATAGCCTCGGGGAGATAAAAAAGAGACTCTACTGGGAATTTCTGCCTTGAGCTGTCTCAAAGCTAGTAGTGCTCATCAGACAGATCTTGGTGGCTCAGGCTCCAAATGAATCACATTTGTGGATGAACAAGAGCTTGCCCCTGGATTTCTCTTAATTTGGTGGCACTGGTGTGCAGGCTTTCTTCTGCTACCATATACATTTTGCTTTTCAATGGAAAAATTATGTGAATATGTTCTGTGAGTTTCTTAATCTTTCAAATATCTGTACTTGTGCAATCCTTGAACATGTGAAATGTTCCAGAAAACTTAGGTATGCCTGTATATTATTTCTCACATGATCTCCATATCAATAGCTGACTATAATTAAGTTATTGAATTAAAGTGCTCACTACTGAAGCAAACTTTGGCTTAAGCAGATTTCCATTTCTAGCAAGGAAAACAGTAAAGATGGGATCAGATTTGTGTAACTTCAAATTCATAAAGAAAAATGAATGAATAAGCAAGTGCATACAAAGTGAATATGGTGTGTACAATTATCTTTAAAATTATTTTTACATTTGTTCTTTGGCAATTTCATATACATACATATGTATGTATTTCAATCTAATAGCACTCACCCCAACCTCTCTAATCTCCTTCCCATCTCTGTCCATCCCTCCACTTTCCTACAAATCCATGTCCCACTTTTGTGATATATATATTTTTTTTTGTTATCCACTGAGCTTAACCAGGTCTGGGTGACCATGGGCCAGGACCTGTCTACTGGAGCCTGATGTGCTCTCCAGTGGGCATGAAACTGAAGATAGTGACTCTCTCTCTCCAAGAATCTATCAGTAGCCTATAGGTGAACAGAGAGGGTAGGGCCCCATGAGCTTCTCCCCCCATCCCTGAGTGACTGTTGACACTACCAGTCTTACACAAGCCCAGTGCAGGTAGCTGTCACTGCTGTGAGCTCACAGTTTCAAGGGCTGTGTGATGCCCAGAAGATGGCATTTCATAGCCCTTCTCCCTATTTTCTGGCTCTCATGTTCTTTCTACCTCCTCTTCCACCATATTCCCTGATTGAAGGCATGTGCCACCATGCCTGGCAAGTTAATCATATTTTAGCCATTATGGGGATTCTTTTTGACAGGAGGATTCTTCAGTCTCCTCCAGCACCCATATGACATCTAACAGCCATCAGTAACTGCAGTTCCAGGGGATCTGAAGCCTTCTTCTCACTTCCTCTGGCACTGCACAACACAGGTTCACCTACTTACTTGCTGGTAATACACTTATATACATACAATAAAAATATAATAAAATAAAAATATTTTAAAAAATCACACATGAAATAAGATTGTAGATATAGTAAACTGTGGCCAAAGCAGTGACAGAGCAGAGAAATAAGTGGTATGCAAAAAAGCATTTAACAAATTATCTGTAGAGCAAAATGATTGTTGACTTTATCTAAAAAATCATTATGTCTAATTATCAAATAGTACACACTATTGAGCCTGACTCACATGTAGTATGTGGGAATGACAGCTTGGGCCTTGAAGCTGGTTCTGAAGGATTAGAGAAATTGGATGGATAAAGCACAGGGAGAGGACACAGTGAGTAAACCTATTGGTCACAGGACTTCTAGTAATTTTGCAAAACGGGGGTCTTCAAACTGATCTTGCTAACATTTCTAGAAACACTAAAGATGGCAAAACCCGAGATAGTCAGCCTTCCTCATTTACTAGTCCTGCATCTGTGCATCCCACGTGCTATGGATAGAAAGTGTTAAAAAAAAGAGAAATATCATCATCATGAGTGTGCTGTATGGTGAGTTGTGCAAGACTACGATGGTTGTGTGTATACTCAATATGCACAGACATTTTCCTCATTATTTTCTAAACAATATAGTGCAACAACTACTTACATAGCATTTGCATTGTACTAGGCATTATAAATAATCTAGAAATGATTTTAAGTACATAGGAGTATGTGTAAATATTATGCCATCTTAGTTAAGGGACTTGAGTATTCACATATTTGATATCAGTGGGGGTATTGGAGCCAATTCCCCATGAATACTGAGAGACCACTGTATGTGAGTGCTTCATGCAAACATGCCACCTCAGAGAAGGGTCTTGAGCACCTGCAAGATATGGTATCATTGGGAGTACTGAAACCAATTCCTCACGGATTCTGAAAACAACTACATGTGACTTAACAAAAACCCTCAAGAAAACACAAATACTGAATTTATTTCTTACTACATAGAGTAAGAGATGGCTACACCTGTCAGATAAGTCTCTGAGCAGAAAACTCTGCACATTTTCTATGGGGTTTTGGGGAAAATATGGGGCTTAAGGGTTGATGTCAGAGCATAACCTGGTTGATATCATCTGTAGAAACTGATATTCACACAAGAGTGTTGTTGATTGGTACTGATAATGTTGATGTGTAAAACCATGTTCACCATAGTGAGTTGGTGTTGATTGAACTGAATTCAAACTGGTTCTGCTGGGTCCTTGCTGGTGGGGCTAAAGAATAATGATCATTTCTCGAATTTTAGGAAATAAGTTTCCTCTATCACAGTTTTGGGAAATATTAGTCCAGATAAAATGCATATTCCTGAGGTGTTGTCTCCTGAGCGTGACAACCTCTTTTTTTTTTTTTACTACGAAATACAAAGCAGATTGATTGTCCATCTAGTAGACAAACATAAGCTGTAATTAGAAACACAGTGCGAGGGTTCTGGAAATGATGAGGAGTGCTTTTGCTGTTCATTGTCATGTCCATCAGGGACTGTAACACTCAACAGCCTTCAAATTCCAGATCCAGATCTAAGACTAAAAAGTTTACACGAGTAATATAGAACTGTGTGGTAAACAAGAGAATTGAGAGTCATCTACAAAATTCAAATTAAGTTTATGTATAAAATATGCTGATGGCCAAAATTTGCCTGTGAGCTCTGTATATCTACAGACAATAGCTGCATAAACTCAAAGGAAATCTTCATCTCTTATTAACGTTATTCTATTACGTTACCACCACCTAACCTTCACTAGAAGTGGGTTAAGTTTTTCCTTGCTTTTTCTAAAAATGTACAGAATTAAGTTTCATCACTACAATGACAAACATTGACAATGCTGGAGTTGAAAGAAAACATACTTTATATATAAGTTCAAGCGTGTCACATCAGGCTGTAATGAGATTAAGTTTGGGGATATGGTTATCTAGGGAAGACACTGGGATATATCTGAGTAATATGGAAGAATTGTGTGCAAAGCACAAAATGCACAAATCATGAAGGATGTGGCTATGGCTATGTCTCTGGTGACCAGACAGCATTGGTTTGATGACTCGGCATAAATCTGACACTCTGATTAAAATGATTTTTCTCCTTGCAGGCTGTGAGCCCATCCCTGTCCGTTATCTCGAGTGGAGCAACATAGAATCCATCATTGCCATCGCCTTTTCTTGCCTGGGTATCCTTGTGACCCTGTTTGTCACCCTCATCTTTGTGCTATACCGGGACACGCCTGTGGTCAAATCCTCCAGCCGAGAGCTCTGCTATATCATCCTGGCTGGCATCTTCCTCGGTTATGTGTGCCCTTTCACCCTCATCGCCAAACCTACCACCACATCCTGCTACCTCCAGCGCCTCCTGGTTGGCCTTTCTTCTGCTATGTGCTACTCCGCTTTAGTGACCAAAACCAATCGTATTGCTCGCATCCTGGCCGGCAGCAAGAAGAAGATCTGCACCCGGAAGCCCAGGTTCATGAGCGCTTGGGCTCAGGTGATCATTGCCTCCATTCTGATCAGTGTACAGCTAACCCTAGTGGTGACCTTGATCATCATGGAGCCTCCCATGCCCATTTTGTCCTACCCAAGTATCAAGGAAGTCTACCTTATCTGCAATACCAGCAACCTGGGTGTGGTGGCCCCTGTGGGCTACAATGGACTCCTCATCATGAGCTGTACCTACTATGCCTTCAAGACCCGCAACGTGCCCGCCAACTTCAACGAGGCCAAATACATCGCCTTCACCATGTATACCACCTGCATCATCTGGCTGGCTTTTGTGCCCATTTACTTTGGGAGCAACTACAAGATCATCACTACCTGCTTCGCAGTGAGCCTCAGTGTGACAGTGGCACTGGGGTGCATGTTCACTCCCAAGATGTACATCATTATCGCTAAGCCTGAGAGGAATGTCCGCAGTGCCTTCACCACCTCTGATGTAGTCCGCATGCACGTTGGTGATGGCAAACTGCCTTGCCGCTCCAACACTTTCCTCAACATTTTCCGAAGAAAGAAGCCAGGAGCAGGAAACACCAAGTGAGTTGTCCTGTCTGAGCTGGGTGTCTCAGTCTTTCTCTCTCTCTCTCTTTCTCTCTCTCTCTCTCTCTCTCTCTCTCTCTCTTTCTCTCTCTCTCCCTCCATCCTTCTCTTTGTCTAAATTGTTTACCATTTCCGTCCATTTCTTCAAAGTTTTTCAGATCTTATTGTTTTGGGTAGGAAGGTGGAGCTAAAAGTCCTCTTGGTCTCACTCCTTTGAAGCAACAGGAACTGTGACTCAATGCTGAGCTGAGGTATCCTTGCTTTCTCTGGAAGCCCAAACTGCAGTTCTGCCAGGAACTTCTTTCTCTTCCAGTGACTTCTCCCTCAATGGGGCATCGAAACACTCTGGTCCTGGGTCAGAAAGGTGCACACTAGTTCTAACTGAAAGTTTAGATCGTGGTTGAAGACAGCATCTGGTTTATTTTTACTCTGGAACCACATCTTTACTAATCTGGGGTAGAGGGTAAGAAGCTAGACACCCTGAGGAAGTTGCTACTTCAAAATTGGGTGGCAGTGGAGTACCAAGTGTGTCCTGCAATAATGTCCCTGAAGGAACAGCTTTCTCATAGCCTTGAAACTTTAATGCATATTGTAATAAAGATGTTCCACAGTGTTGCACACAAATTGTGCTGTCTCTAAGCAAGGTCACCATCAGAACAGTTTCTTACTCACAAAGCAAAACATAAATAAAGAACTCTTAACTTGATGATCAAAGTCGAATGATTCATATTCAGTCATTCTGAGGGACAAAGTCTGCATGGTATTTTTCTGACTGTCAAAAGTTTGTGTTTGCCATCTTGCTGACCCATGAAAGCACATTTCAAGCAATACTTTCAGTTTTTAAGATTGACATGGATACTTGAAGCTCTAAAGAAAATTGACTATTTCCAGGAATTGATTTATTTTTCTCATTAACAAGATTAAGTTTGCTCTTTGAGATGGTCCTTAAAAGTAAACAATGTTAATAGCAGCAATTATAACATTTGTGCTATTTTAGAACTATTCCATTTATGGAAGTCAGTTGGCTAGTAAGAGAGATGGATATTCTTTTCCTTCATTTTGTACCTGAGGAAAGTTAAGCTTCTATAAATTTATTTTTTAAAATACTTTATTATTTTTATTTTATGTGTATGAGTGTACTGCCCGTAAGTATATAAGTATACCCATGTAGTACAATGCTTGTGGAGTTCAGAAGAGGGTGTTGGAGCCCCTGTAGCTAGAGTTACAGATGGCTGTTAGCCACCACGTGGGTCCTCAATAAGAGCAACCAGTCTCTTAACCACTGTGCCATCTCTCCAGCCCCAAATTTGTATAACTTCTAAATGTGAGCCCCTAAGTCTTTCTGCCCAGGTCTTAAACTGCTGTAAAATATCTTAACAAATATCTAATCTATGTGCATTACATTCTGTGTTTTCCAAGCAGCAACATGGGCATCTTACAGAAATCATATAATTTGTGGTTGTGATCAAGAAGACTGGGAAAAAATATCTTTGAAATTTATAGTTATTAATTCAAATGAAAACATCTCTACATTTTGACACTTTTATAATGAAGCCAATACTTCATACTTCTTATTTCAAGTTCTTTATAAGCAGCTGATCAAAAAGGTGCCTACCATTTTTTCCTCCTTGTTCTAATTTTCCTCCCAGCCAGTGTTGTCTCAATAACATCCAGGGAGTTCTTAGCAATGAGAGCAAAGCAGCTGTTCTATGACATGAGCCAAAGCAGTAGATTATTATTCACAGTGAATGGATGTGAAATGACATCCTCGCAATTTCATTGAGAGGGAGGGATGAGAGAAAGCAAAATGGAAGAGTCTACTCTTACTGCTGGGAGGTTGCTCACTGGTTAAGAGCACTGATGAGTAAGAGTACTTGCTGTGCGAGCATGAGGACCCGAGTTCACATACAGAACCACCACTAAAAGAAGCAGGAGTGTCCACGAGCTTAACCCAGCTTCTTTCCTCAGGAGCACAGAAAGGGGGGTCTTGAAACTTCTGGTTACCAGAACAAGCCTAGCCCCAGGTTCAGGGTGAGGCTCTGTCGCAGGAGGTATAGTGTGATAGAGTAGGACACTGGACATCCTCCTCTGGTCTCCACATGTCCCACAGGGATGAGCACACACACCACACATGTACACACACCACACACACTCACACATAGGCAGTCATGTACCAAAGAACCAAGACATTCTTTAAACTGGGATAGTCACGGGGAGTAAAAAATTCCCTTTGTTGCATGACTTATGGAGTCATAAAGATTCCATCTTGCCAACCATTCTCTAGCTCTGTATTTCTACCTTTATTGTGGTTCTTAAGAAAATTCCATGATTTTTGGTCAGGAGTCATTTCTGAAAGTTGTACTTGTGAGAATCTTGGATTAAGATGTCTTGTGCTGATGCCCAGGAATGTGTATGTTTGAGATTCTGCCAATGGGTCTGTGGATGGATATGAACATCCTCCAAGAGAATAGTGAGTAATGAGTCTTACTCAGCACTTGCAGCACAATGAGAATGAACTTCGGACATCATGTTGGTGATGCCTGGCACTTCTTGCATGACAGACATCACTGTACATTTGGACCTACAGTTTCCTTGTTGTTTGAGAAGATTCTCTTCCATATTATGAATTTAGAAATTAATTTCATTTGGGACTTTACATTTGAGAAAAATCAGCTTAGTCTGAATGTATTGAAACGATTGTCTTAGAACTATTGATTTCAATAGTAAATTGTTGAGCTATTAGCTATAATTTATCAAGCATTATCAGATTGCTATGTTGGTAAATCTAGTCCTAATTAGTAACTATAACTCATTGCTTTCTTAGCACAATTTGTACCAGCCTCAGTATGCTCGATGCAAATGAGCTGACCCACACAGGGTATCTGGGGCTACGTTTCTGTGGCAAACAGTGATTTGTTTACTCAATTTTCTCATTTATTCTTCTATTGCTTCCGTTGTAATTCTCCACGAAACTGTGATTTTAAAATATAACAATAATCTCAATGCCTATGGTTTTTAACCTTTTTTTAATTGCCATTTTATGTTTTCTTGGTTTGTCTCCAAAGTAACAAAATCACAAACAATCTAATACATTCCGCAGTAATAAAAACCTAGCAGAGTTTTACCAATCAAAGCAAGGAATTGAACACTCTAGAGAGTGCATCCCCCAATGAATTTTTTTTTTTTGCCATTCTAGATATGCAGTTCCAACTGGCCTGTCTGCTGGAAAGTTGTGAGGAGTCACAAATCCAGTGACACTGTCCTAGCAGGTCACCTCTGCTATGCATAGGAGAGGTGATGCTGCCTGACTGACTAAGCAAAGTTTATTTAAATATTTTTATTCGGTCATAGTAAGATGTCTACTGCAACTTAAAGTTGGGAGCTTATTTTACATTTTCCAGAAAACAATTTAGGAGGCGTTAACTAATAAATATATTATTTGGGTATTGTTATTTAGTCACAAGTCTTTTGTTTGGGGGGGAGGCACAAATCTTTTAGGAATAACCTAACCCTGTCTTTCATAACTCTAATTTCTTTAGCTGTATCTTACAAATTTATTCAAATGAGATAATATTTAGGCCTGAACTAATATAAAGGTCTAGGAAATCTGGGTTTTGGCAATAGATCAACCAAAGAAATCCATGTATATTCATAAGGAAGTGATTATTTAAATACAAATTACGTATCACTTCCTCTGTGGCAAAATAATTTAACATAATTTAACTGAAAAATTAAAAGTGCTAGGTAAATGGAATGCCTGTTTTAAAAACAATTATCTTAATGACTCATTGTCAAATTAACATTTCAAGGTATTTTCTAGATAAACTAAAGATAATTAACTAAAGATAAACTGAGTGCCAATTTGATAGCTCCAGGAGTTGAAAAGGTATAATATCCTCCTTTGAGTTTTTGCATGCACAATTGTTCATAAAAATAAATTACAACCACAAGAAAGGTATGAGACTGGTATATGAAGTAATATCCATGCTTAGGAATTGAATAGCATTATGATTCTGCATTATTTCTAAGCATTTGAATGTTTTTGCTGAATGTAAGACCTAAGTGATACATACATGGACTGATATTCTGAGGGCATTTCCTTATGGGCTTCTGTAGTGGTTAATTTTGATTGTCTACTAGACACAATGTAAAATAACCTCGGAAGAGTCATTTTTATTTTTAATTTTTTTGATTTATTTATTTTTATTTTATGTGTATGAGCATGTTGCCTGCATGTATATAAGTGCATCTGTGTCGTGCAGTGTACACAGAGGCCAAGAGAGTGTGTTAGATCCCTGGAATTGGAGTGATAGATGGTTGTTAGATGCCATGTGGGTGCTGGGAACCAAACCACAGTCCTGTGCAAGAAGAGAAAGTGCTCTCAACTATGAAACCATCTCTCCAGTCCCTGGGAGGAGTCTTAATGAGGAATTGTTTATGTTAGCTTGGCCTGTGAAGGATTTTCTTTTGGGTTAACTGCAGTGAGAACACCCACCTTGAATATGGGTAGCACCATTTCATGGGTCGTGCCTTGGACTGAATATAAAGGAGAGGGCAAGCTGAGCACTAAAGCTTGGTTCATTCATTGCTCTCGGTTCCTAATTATGAATGTGATATGACCAGCTCCCTCAGGCCCCCATCTTTCCTTCTTCCCTGACACTACAGACTGTAACCTGGAGCTGTGAGCTAACATAAACTCTTTCCCCTCTGATTTGCTTTTGTCAGGGTATTTTATCACTGCAACAGAAAATGAAACTAAAACGGTTCCCTGTTAGGAATACATTGCGTCTGCAGGTAGAGGTAAATAAGACTGCACATTAGTCCTTACCTCCTGGGTAAGCATTAGCATTTGTTTTCTGTCTGCTGATTATGAAAAGAAACCTGACAAGTGAGCCAACAAATATCATCATGAAATTGTAGGAGCATCTCTTCTCTGATAAGAACATATATTATTGTGACTCATGAGAAAATCTTGTCATTTTAAAATTGCTTTTCCC